GCTGTATGGATGTGTTTGCGTCTTTGAGCACCAGAGAGGGATGGAAGGCACAAAAGAGACCTTTCCTCTCACCTTTGACCCTGGGCTCTGTGCGGCCAACCAGACGCTCTGTGTGTTCTTCGGGGGCGAGGGGCAGAGTCGAGGCCATCACTCGTCTTTTTCTTTTGTGTCTCGCTCAACTCGCCTCGCCCCTCTCCTCTTTCTTTCAAGCTTTTTCATTTGCTCCATAAAAACTGAGGAGGAAGATTTATTTTGTGCTGGAAAACACAGGATAAGAGCTTGTGTTTTGTTTGTTTTTCTTACAAAATAATCATATCATTACACAGAACAAGAGAATCTGTAGAATATTAATAACAACATTTACTTTAAAAAACATCTTGTGTGTATGTGTGTTATTTTTTCAGAATATATTTGGATTTTTTTTTGTTTTTTTTTCCTCTTTTTCATTTTCATTGAAAAGAAAGTTCCGAGTCCGCAGAGAGAGAGAGAGGCGCTCTCAAGTGTTTCGGAGACGAGAGGAGAGAGGGATGAGGGGGAGGCGACGAAGAAGAGGAGGAGGACGGGGGCTTAGAGTATCTTTCCCTCTTCTCTCTCTCTCGCTCTTTCTCTCTCCCTCCGTGTGCGGTTTGTCTCTCTGCCGTACGAGTGTTATGCGTAAAACTCCTCCTGCTTGTCTGGTTTCTGGTAGGTGACGGTGGCTTGTTTGGGCTCCTCCAGCGTGTAGCTGCCCTCGTCCTTCTTCTTCATCCTGTACACCAGCAGCATCACCAGGAAAGCGGCAAACAAGGCGCCCACTACTCCTCCCACGATCACCGCTGGACAGAAAGAGAAAGAGAGGGTTGCAAATCTTAGAAAACCTTTCCAGAACATCACAAATCCTACAACACAGAAAAACACAAATGCCATTAGAGGCACTGCTACATCCTGCAGCAGACTACATCCCTACAGACTGCATCAAACACTCCTAGTCTGAAAGCAGAGCTACCACAGCATCACGATCACCTAGCCGCTAAGTGAAGACTGATGATCCTGAATGTGCCAACATACGTCCTGGGCTCCCAACAGCTTTGTGCTAAATTACAGCCCTGCAGTGCTACATAGTAGTTTGTTTCCCGACGGGCCTGTGAAACCAATCGCAGCAGCTGCAGTTAACCAGCTTCCTCTGCGCACATCGCTAATGACCTCTTGCTGCGTGTGATAAATTCATGTGTGGTTATCAAATGAGAAAAAAAAAGCGTTCCCTCGTTAAACTAATTGGTATTGATGCCAAAATAGAGAACATCCTCCAAACTGGTGTTGAATGCTTTGTTCCCGTTCATTGTGTGGGAGGTGTTGTCTTTGTTTATTCCATTATTGCTAATATCAGAGTATAAAGGCTGGGGTATTTAAGATAACATCACGTCTCACCACTCCTTTGTGACTGCAAAAGTATTCACCACTCTTGACGTTTCACACACTCGTAGTTAAATCTAATTTTATTTTACATTTGTAAGATATGGTTTAAGTTTTATAGTGCATAAATATTTAGAAAGAAAATTGTTAGTGGACATTTGAATTGTTAGTTTAGATATTTGAATTGCAATGTTTCAAGTCCACCTACGCTTATTCTCTAAGTTGACATTGGGCGAGGGGCAGGGTGCACCTTGGATCGGTCGCCATGCAATCACAGGGCTGACACAAAGAGAGAACGATTTAAACCTACGGGCGATCCAGGGTCAACGACTAAACTAACCTGCATGTTGTTAGACTGTGGGAGGGAGCTGGAGGGCGCAGAGAGAACTCACGCTAACATGGGAAGAACATGCAAACCCCACAAAGAGAGCCCAATTTAGTGCGGTTAGACTTTTTGCTTTGGAAAGTTACTACTTTAGTGAAATTACAGAGAAGTAAAGAAAAGAGACGTGGCAGCTGGTCAAATTCTGTAAACGCTAAGAAATATGGTGCTTCCTTTCTTCTAGATGACAATCCCTACAAAAGGAAAAGCAATTATGTTGTCCCACAGTTCCCTGCAGCAGCAGCAGCAGCAGCATCATTTAGAGAGCCACGTCAATAATCTGCCTCCGCTTTATAATCATGAAGCCTAATGTAAGATTCCTTTCCTACAGTACCTCCTAATGAGTTCCCCTTTACCCTTTTCTCATGACCTAATGACATTTCAATTAAATAGAAAGACATTAGAAAGACTGGAGCCATCGCTATGGGAAAATGTTGACGCTCTGCCACAGTTCTGTGAAACATATAGATTTAGGCCGAGTGAAAGGCATGATTGTTCATAATAGTTTTCAATACAAATCTTTAAAGAGGAAAGACAAAAGGATTAATTTAATCAGAAATATTTGGTTTGGGCAAAAATATTATCCTGATCCTGAAAGTTATTAAATTTATCAAAACTTAAAGCTTTTGCAGAATTGCTATTTCCCCTTAATGTAGAGATAAACTCTGTCATAAAAGATAAGTGTCCTAAAGCCGTGTGTGAAAAGTCAAAGATGGTGAAATACCTGCACATCACTGTGTATATATATTAAGTTATTTTAAGTGAAAGGGAATACAGTGTTGATACATGTCCAGCACTCTACATGGATATGTATGAGTCAGACATGTACAGATGTATTTCATAAAGACAGTCTAGTCTAAAGTCTGATGCCTCCTGTTCTTTACCGATGACCAGGAAATCAGCGAAAACCACCGCCATCAATCCACCAATCAGAAGAGCTGAAGGAAAGACAGAGAGCCAGTCAGGTCAGGCAAGTTGGCTGCTGCCTCACTTTCTACAACAGCTCTTTGGGATGAGGAGAGGGGGCACTTGAAAATGAATTGGTTTTACCCAGAAGCTAAATGATGGGAAAAAGAGGGGAGAGAGGAGGGGTTGGATAACCCAAGAAGGGGTTTGCTTGTTCTCAACGGGTCAAACAGGGCTAAGTAGCACATTCACTCAGCGGGATGAATCTGTACTACTTGAACGTGAGCTAATGCCAGTTTATCTTAGCGGCTCCCAGAAGGCAGAGGAAACATACGGGAGGCAACAGGGAAATGTGATCTGTTGATCTAAGAGGTGGCTACCAAGAGGATCAGAAGCTCCTACCTATCAAGACCTCTTTTCTCTCCAGGATGTTCTTCTGAGGCAGCTGGGCGGCAGAGCTTCCTCCGTCCACCGTGTTCCCGCTCAGATCAGCATCCACTGGAAACAAACCTCGACCCAGATCATTACGACGATCATCAGGGATCTCAAAGTCTCCACTGGTTCCTGCAGCACCCGCCTCGTTGTTAGTCTCCTGGGGCACAGAGGAAGAAAAGTGAGACTGACGACAGGAAATTCACATTTGATGTAATCGAATTTGTTCCACGGAGCAGGAACGTATCCAAACCGACACAAATGGAGAACTTTCCATGGCACACGTTGGCCTCTGAAACAATGAGCCTCTGTATGTCTGTTTGGCGGAAAGTGGTATATTGTCCAATGCTTATACGCACTTCATAAAATCTGGCAGCTTAATTACAATGTTGAAAACCAAACAAATCTAAATGCATCATGCTTTAATGCAGAACGGCTGCAATAAACATAAGCACACCAATCAGATAAATGACTGGTCTGTAAATAATTAAGCTGCCAGCATTACGCAGGAAGGGTTTGGTATCAAACCTAAATAGTTTATTGGTTCTGACCAAAATGAGTGCATTAGTACCAGACAGTGGTGGAAAAAGGATTCAAATATTATACCTCAGTAACCACACTGTGGAAATCTACATCTCTATACAAGTAGAAATGCTATTCAAATGTTATTTAGAAAGTAAAAAGTATTAAAATCTCTATAATAATAGTAATAATCTAACACATTGTAATGGCTTATTACAGAATAATAAATAAGTATTATCAATGCAGGCGTATAAATTAGCAGAAAATGAGAATACTCAAGTAAAGTGAAAGTACCTCCAATGTGTACTTAAAGAGGCCCTATTATGCTTTGGTGGTTTTCCCTCTCCTGTAGAGTGTTATATAGGTTTCTGTGCATGTCAACGGTCTGCAAAGGCTAAAATCCCAAAGTTCCTTCCAGAGGGTGTTTCTCTCCTACACACCCCAGCCCCCCGCCTGAAATCCCCAATTGGACAGTTTTTTTCTGTAACATAATGTCATCACTATGTAACGGTCAGACTTCTATTGGCTAGCGCTCCAACACATTGTACGTAATAGGCTAAGGGGCGAGACATCTCTAAGCGGTTGACCAACGACAACAGAGCCTGCCAACTAACCCATCAGAGCAGACGGATGTCAGTTTCCTATGGTCTCACCTGTGTAGATGTGGGCTGCTGTGGGCGGGTCGTACTCTCTGACGGCGCCGCCTGTGTTGCTGTCGTCATGGGAACCCTGGGCCTGAAGGACACCCTGGTCCTGATGGTGGTGGGTGCAGCGGTGGTGGTGGGGGGGGGTGCGGCGGTGGTCTGCTCTGTGGTCGTCTCTGCAGTGGTGGACGCGTCTTCCTCTGCGGTGGCCTCCATGTCGAAGCCGGGGAAAAACGCTGTGGGTTCAGGTGAAAGGTAGACGTCCTCCTCTTCTTCTGTGGTGCTCAGGTCATCCGAGCCTGCAGAGGGCGCCGCGCTCTCAGCAGGGATGGTTGTCAGCTCGGTGGTAACCACGGGGACGGCGGTGGTCTGGGCAGCGGCGGCGGCTCTGATTCGCTCCAGCTCTCTCTCTCTTTCAAGCTCACGCTCTATCTGCCTCTCTCTCTCTTTCTCTCGCTCTCTCTCACGCTCCATCTCTCGCTCGCGCTCCCTCTCCTTCTCCAGCTCTCGGACCCGCTCCCTCTCTCGTTCCCTCTCTCTCTCCCTCTCCAGCTGTCTCTCCCTTTCTTTCTCCTTTTCCAGTTCCCTCTGCATCTCTTGCTCCTTCTCTCTCTCCATCTCCAACTCTCTCTCCTTCTCCAGCTCTTTCTCTCTGTCCCAGAATGCACCACTCTCTCCCTCGGCCTCAGTGGGCAGTGGGGTGGCGATGGGGCCCTCCGGGTTGGGGCTGGGCTCGGCGGCAGGTGAGGCGGAGGGGGCGGGGCCTGTTGCCTGGGTGGTGGAGAGGAGGAGGGTCTCCTCGGTGGTGAAGGTCACGCCCGCCGACGTCGGCCTCAGCCTGATGTCAGGAACTGGAGATGAGAAGAGATGACTTTGAATTAAATAATGACTTAATCAAAAAACAACAAACAGAGGAGTCAACACATTAAAAACGCACACATCTCACACACACACACACACACACACACACACACACACACACACACACAGCCTCAGTAAATC